AAATTCTTCTCATCAAATATTATTTTTTAAACTCATCATTTTATTCAGCAGGTGAGCAGAGCAAAAAGGAATTATCATGGTCGTTTCCATGGAGTAAATAATATACATCGACAACACAAAACTCAATATACTGCAGGTTAAATTTTGCTGAAAATTACCATTAGAAATTGGCACAAATACTTCTCTAAGAAACATGGTCCATAATTTATTGTTTGCAACCCAGTATTGCATATGATGGAAATTGGCGAACTGCAAGAGTATTCCCAACACCTTTGCCCAATGCTAGTGTTGGTTGTAAAGATCCTCAGGAAATCATTAGCGAACTCCAACTAGAAACAGACCAAAAGGTCAGGGCTATACATTATGTGAGATTCATGGCTGTGGTTGTGCAGTGCTGTGAGCATTCACTCTTGTTCAAAATACAGTATAGTATTTGAAAGCATCCGCTCCTGTTCCCAAAAGTTAGTAAATTGTTAAGTGTGCCGGCATCAGATTTTGAACAGTATGATAGAGACACAGTATTTTTTCTGAAATGTAAGTCATTAGAGTTGAGCACCTACACAAATTCAATGAGGTTTAGTGGAGTGGTAATTGGTTCTTTACATTAGAAAGTATAGAATGACTCAGAAACTCAAATTTAAGGAAATCAACCACAAATTTAGGTATGGATAACCTGGCACAAACAGATACCATCTGTAACTCAAAAATTGATTTGAAAATCCTGGGGCATTATTCTGAAAAAAGAGAAACCTGAAAAACATATCCAGCTTTCCAGAAGCATGAAATTTATTGTCTTTGAATACAAATAAAAATCTCCCTCTCTCTCTCTCTCTCTCTCTCTCTCTCTCTCTCTCTCTCTCACACACACACACACACACACACACACACACACACACCCCACATGCTAGAGCAAATATAGCAAAAGAATTATAGAAAAAAGAATCAGCATCTTGCAATGGAAACATTATGGCTTCTGGGGCGGACAAATCCATATTTGACTCCTGGCTCTACCACCCACTGACTGTGCCGCACTAATCAAGTCACTTATTCTCTCAACCTAAGTTTCCACATCTGTAAAATGGATCAAATAATTCTGAATGTGAGGCATTTCTGTGGGGATAATGTATGTCAGTTGCCTGGCATGTACGTAGTAGCCACTTGATATATAATTACTTTCATAAATACTAATTTTTAAGCATACACTTGACCTTAAAACATGTTGTCTTTACATTTAATGATTTAAATGTAAATTTTAATTATTTTATAAAAATATTTAAGCCTTGCCACCTAAAGGAACATAGGCATAATACTTATAACATATTGAAAATTTTTTCAAATTACTAAATTATATGATTATCTAGCAACCTAATTTAATTTTTCTTTGCCTTGATGCGATTGCTAGACTTTTTTTTCTAGTGAAGGTTTACAAAGAAAGCATTGCATTACCAGTAGAAATTTTCACCTTTCCTTCAATAATAATTTCGTCTTCTCATAATTTGTATCAGTGCCATATATCCTAATAGCAGTTTTCCTTACGCATTAGATCTTAATATTAAGAAACAACAAAATAAGAAAAGCAATTTGATGTCCATCTTCACATATATTGCCCTTTTCTTCCTTTAACTTTGTCTCCATTTGAAAATATTAATTACTGTCTCGTGTCTCTCTTCTCTCCCAATAATCAAGGTCTCTCCAGGACCTTTCCAAGCAAACAGACATCCCTTATGGCACAGTCCTGGACTCTGCAGT